CGTTTTGAAATTTGGCTCTAATCACGTTAATGGCTCTTACACTAACATAATTTTTATTTCATATCTTTAGATTAGTGGTCAGACAATGTTACAGTTAAATAGCAAGTAACTCTAATAATTAAATTTATAATTTCTTTGTTTCCTTCCTCTATACAAAGATTTTCAAGAAATCCAATTCCCAATTACAATTTTAAACACGCCCAAAAATTAAATATTTGATAGGTCAATGCCCATATTATATAAACAAATATAATTTGGTACATACAGGGACGAGAGTAATACATGTTTGTTACATTTGTAAATGGGTTTTTTTTTTCTCCTGTTTCCAGGCTAGAAAATGGAGTTCAGAGGAATGGTCTATCGTGAGATCCATTTGGGTAGCTATTTTTTTTTTCTATACAGAGCACCAGATTCAATTAATTACACACAGCGATGTGTTTGCACATCGCATTAATCAGAGAACATTTCTTTCACAGCACCTAAACTGTATCACATAATTGAATTATATTTTGTGAGTATCATTCAATACTAAAATTGAAGCATCTCGAATGGAAAATAACACATTTATGAAAACTGTATTTGAATATTCGTGTGTAAATAACACAAAACCAAAATTGGTAATACCACGGCAGATAAAAATTAGGTTACAACCAACCAAGCCAATACGCCTATTTAAAAGCAGGCGAAATTAAAATATGTGACGCTTGAGGCCTATGTATCTAGGCGTTTTAAGTGTGATTTCTGTAAAACATGAGGGAGATTTCGTCTGTTCAATCGTACGTCTGTTTCAAAGCAAGATAACTGTTGGGACACAAAGCCGAGGTCAAATTCGTAACTGTTCTTTCCGGGGGCATCAAATATCAGGCCGGGCCTCTGTTCGTCCAATCATGTCTTTCAGTTCTCACATTTCGTCCACTGCCAACTTGATACAAGACCTTTACAGACCTCTGGATACATAGGCCCTGAAGATGGCAACTACAATAACTGTCGAAACGTTAAACATAAAGACAAGAATAAATTCGTAAAATGAAATTTGTGCTTCAGAGGGTTAATTCGAGTAGATACATCAGCTGTAAGGGTATTAATTGCCTCCTCACTGAGTTATTTTGCTGCGTATACCCTTTCTAATAACATCTCACTCTTCTTATTTGACAAGAAGTATTTCATTACGAAAATTACTGTCGCTAACTGCAGTGGACATATTTTTCAAACGCTTTCACAATCACACACTTTGCATCCGCCAAGCATACAGAGTGATACAAAAGTCAGAACACACTGACCATTTAAGAAGGCAACGTTTTATCATCAAGGAAAAGAGAATTTATGTATGTGTTTGTAAATATATCTGTAAGATCAGACATGAAACATAATCAAATTAAATCCAAAGAACAAAGTTATTTGTATAATAATTCATTCACCGTCGATACACAAACTTAAAATGTTGTTAAAATTTACATAAAATTACAACATTTTTTAGAATTAGATCTTGATACATTTCACATTTGACGACATGTTTCGGTGTATTACACCATCATCAGGTCAATCAAAAAAAAAAAAAAAAGTTATTTGTGTCTTCACTTAAAGTTTCTCGTGACTTTTCACCAACTGCGAACTAGTGACAGATCAAAAGTACAGTAGAGATTTTACACTGCCAAGCTTAATATTTATCTTTTGATTCATTAAAAATATAAGTCACATTGACAAATGTTTCAGATCTCAAAAAGAAAAACTGTTACTCAACGTCCTAAACTATCCCTGTCTACAACGAACAGCTTTGAGAAATTCGATCTAATTTAATTAGAGATTCTTGTAAAGTTGAAAATACCGTGGAACGGTATAAAGAAATTTACCTTAAGATTCCGAAAACCCCTACTAAATTAATGTAAAGTAAGTATTTTATTACGGAATTCGCAAATTTACGTCTCGCTAAGCCTCTACACTGTTCACTGCTATTATATTCTTTAAATACAACGCACACGTTTTTATGACAATATACACGTACTAAGTTTGCTTTTAAAAATTCCTATACACATATCGCTTTTTCACAAGTCATGTCAGCGCATGAGGTAAACATATATTTTAAAACAGAAGCAATCACGATAAATATATAAATATTAAAGCACTTTTGTGCCATATTCTTAAACACAATGCACACATTATATAAGTTACTAAGTATAGTAATTATTATCTAGTTATAAGCTACTTATGGTTAAGTGAGAGATCTCTCATTGTCCCACAAAGACCACACACAAAGCTCATGAACATATGTTCCTTGAGACTCTGTACAATGTTAAAATTATCGAGTAATTCCGTCTTGTACTAATTAAAGGAGTAAGCGTATTAACTCACTGTTTTATCATTTGCCATTTTCTGACGCTGGATCAATTTATTAAGTTACGGGGCAGGCTACACCTTTCACGTCCCTGCCTATAAATCCAACTCCTCACACCCTATTGGCATATTCATCGCCCTGATGACGGAGGCAGTATGACCTCTGAAACGTTGGTTAACATCGACCAGACTACACAGCGCAATAACCCAGAAGACAGAAATCTTCATATTCACCGCTGTGAGAACCTCAAGTCTTACAGAGAAAAATTAAATCAGAACGCGGAGTCCCAGCCAGGATTTGAACTCGGTATCTGTCACATCCACATATTTTGCGTGTTGACAGAATTAAAATTCCAACTACCAAAATGTAGTAATTTTATAATATTTACACGACGGACAAAGTCTAAAAGAACAATTTAATCAAAGCCTGTAGTCTGCAAATCCAGAAAACAGCTTAAACAATCAAACTCAACCTATGTAAAAACGTACTGCTATGTTGTTATTCAAAATGGCATTACCTGTAGTATGGGAGAATATTTAGGATATTACACGGCATTTATAAAATGTTTCTAATAATAATAATAATAATAATATTTACAAATAAAACCACTGGGTCGTTGCTAAAACAAACAAGAGGCATAAATGAATTTAAATTAGTTTCGAGAACAATAAATAAATGTTTGTCTTTGAGGGTATATTTTCTGACGTAGGAGTTTTATTTTAAAAAGCGAAAAACGTGTTGCTTTAATGAACAGCTCGGAAATAATGGGGTAGCACATGAAACATAACGTCTAATATGTTAGACGCTGGAAGACGGAAGAAATAGCACTGGAATGATAAACAGTTACAGAGTAGGATCATGGGTTAAACCATGAAGAGAATAATAATGTTTAAAGGGGGAAACATATACAACAACACACACGACCAACAGAGACACATTCATCAAAAAGAAATTTTTAGGAATTGAGAGTAAAGCCTGCAGCCTAAAAGACTTAGGGTCTGATGCAACATGATACAGGCATGACCAAATTAATATGCAGTACACATGAACACATGGCATTGTCCTAGTTCCAAAAGGTTTATAACGAGATCTACAGATTACATGTTAACATTGCTCTGCTATTTCGCTATAAACATACGTAGTTACATTTGTTAAGCTTTTTTTTTTAAAGTAAACCTTTCGTTTTCATTCCGCATCAGAGCTAGTACCTGCCAATCAGCTAGGAGCATACAATGGCCAGTCGATATGTAAAACCCGATGTATGGGCAAGTTTAAAAATGGCTTCGTAAAAGTAAAATGGACTTAACCTTTCCTCATACCACGTCACGTGAACTGACTTGAACACAATCGAACAAATTTCTCCCAAACATAAATTCTACGGTAACCTACAACAAACTATTACTTGTAAAATAGTTAAGGATTCAGTCCGTACCGCGAAGAAAACACCACACTTTACCATTAAAAAGATCAACTGGTTAACGCTGTTTAAGGAAATAACTGCTGTTTACAGTGAGAATCGAGCGAAACACATAACCACGGTATTTTAGGTTGTGACATCGTATGATCTAATACCACAATCGATCAATTTTGAACTATGTTTCTCGGAGACAAGGGTAGCTATCCCCCCCCCCCCCCCCCCCCCACAATTCGATCTGCAGACTTCCGGAGAGATTTTAGACGAATTTCTCAAGGGGGCGCCTTGCTCAGCGATTCACAGCGAAACTCGCCACATTTTTAGAAGAGTAATATATCAAAATTTTCTCATGGTAATGCACGTTAATGAAGAAATATATTTTCCAACAGCGAGTCTAATAATTATTTCCACCAAAATAATGGTGTCGTCCATAAAACTGGACTGCAAAATTAATGGAAACGCTGGCGATGATTAGGAAGACGAATAGCGAGAGAAGTACATCTTCTATCCTTATATTTCTTCACAATGCTTTTCCTTATTCTCCTCTGTTTTCATTCTCTCTTCATCGTAACACAAACATGGAAATATTCACACCGATGAACAATATACAGCATCTGTCATTTATTAAACGAATCCGCCCTGACACAAAACACGATATGATTCAGAAGAAACTATGCCAGAATTATACAAAATTTCCATAGGAAAAAATATGCTTTCACTGTGAACCAAATAAAGGAAGGGTTGGGGGTTAGTATGATACTCTCAGCTCAAGGACAACTTAATACTATGGCCCAAAATAAAATTATTCCGTCCGTTGCATACCGAGTGTGCCAATGACGCGTGGTTTTTTTTTTATTTATTTATTTATTAGTATCTGCTGTGCCTTCCCGGTGCATAATGGCGTAATGGAGTGCAGACGCCTGACGTGGACAATCTAAGGTTATACTAAATTTTGTTTGTTTCTGCTGTTGCAGTATGGGCGTGCACCGATACACTGGGCTTCGTCTCGGGGTAACACGGACATCGTAGAAATGCTCATCGCCGCGAAATGCGACATCGAAGCAAAAGACAAGGTAAGTTCTACAACAGCGAAAAGACGCCCCTTATAAAATCGTTTTATTTTAATCGGTGAGAAAACAAACATACGAGATTTAACCTCGAAAATACACTTTCAGACCACAAAATGAAAAATGATATATGTGGTTCTCACGGTGTTTTCTGGGATGCCGTGTCATGTAATCTGACCGACGTTTCGGAGGTGCTTGCTGCCTCCTTCATCAGGACCGTCCTGGTGATGGAGCGGGTAAGCACTTCTGAAACGTCAGTCAATATCTGACTACAAGGCTCAACATCCTAGAAGACATCTAAACAATTAAGGTTGTGCATGGCAACGCCATTACCTTTCGCATCAGCGCCTTTAATGTTGCCAAAATATCCGTTTCCTATAATATTGAAAATAATCAATTTCATTTGCAGACCGTCACTGATATTAAACGACAATGATACGCTGTTTAATCACCCTGTACCAAACTTTAAATATCGATACCCATCTCGAAATATTCTTAATATAGACTTCTTAGTTATAATGTTGTGTGGACTTGAAGATACCAACATCTGAGACGAACATCCTGCCTCCATCTGCAGCCCTGAAGTTCAGTATGTTCATCCAAAACTATGGTATCCAGTTACAAGTTCTTAACGCGTTACAACCCAGAAGATCAACATAAATTTGTACTCGATAATTCGTAAACATGGATTTAAAGCTCTTTATTTGAAACTACGCTGTCCTTTCAACAACCAATTTCTGGTAATCAAATAAAACAGTATAACAGATAGATAAAATTTGCATTAGAAAGTTCAGTTCGTACTTCAGTAGTAATGAAGCGATTCGCAACAGACAGCGTGCAGTAACTGTGTGGCCTACTACGTAACAGAATGCACCTTCTAGACTCTTCTGAGTCTTCGTAGCACCAGAAAGTTGCCTTAGAACAAAAAGATTACAGCGACATGACTCATCCTACGCGTCTCTGCTAAGAGCGCCCATCGACCTCGACAGCCACGAAGAGGGAAAGGAAGACACATGCCATTTCTGTTCAATCAGAAACAAAAACTTTTGAAAATTCCCTCGTAAAATATTCAACTCCTTCTCAGTAAATTAAGTTGAAGCTTTTACTGTTGCTATAGCAACCCATTTTGGTACAAATTCCGCTTCGTGAGAGTGTACGACTACAAATTAACACAGAAAACGACTAGAAGTTGCAAATGGAATAATAAATACTTCGATTTGTTGCTCTGAGCGCATTACTGTAGTTACTTTCTGTCTCCCCTTCGCTTTTCAGGTCAGGAATAAATAATTACAACAAAATCTACAATCGCTATCTTAAAACACATTCTGCATAGATGCGACAATTATGTTTTAAAATAGCATAATCTGACACAGTACTTACATTTCGCTCATGAGCCGAGTCGAATGTTACACTGAACTCCAGCAGCGAAAACCTAAGGGTAACAATTACACAGTTATAAACAACAATCCGGTTTTGTCATAAAGCTTTAATTGGACAAAAACACATAGAATGAACGAAAATAATCATGATCTTCATTTTATAATTCTAATAGCATCAGTCGATATAACTCAAGTATAAAAACTTACATTTTAATAATTTCATAACAGAGTATTTAAATTAATAAAGTATCATATGATGTCACCAATCAAGGCAAAGCGCCTATAAATTAATTAATTACACGACATAACACCCTCACCCATTTTCTCCTCCTTGCGAACTCCATTCTACCACCTTCACTCAACACTTACCTGTGACGTCAGCACGTCCTGTGAGAAGCCAACGTGGAACACGCTCATCACCAACGCGATCTCGGCCACTTTTATGTTGTATTACACGTAAAGTTACTTTAATTTTTATTGGAATAAGCCTTGTTAGTTTACCGTTTATAATAAACTACAAAAAAAAAACAGAGTCTGACACTTGTAATAAATTCACAACACAACTCGCGTCGAAGCTTCACGTCTTTCACTCTTGCACGGACAGACACGACTGACCACCTCACCCCACCTCCACGCGTTCGTGAAACTTCGGCTCATGATCGTTTATAGCAGGGTGTCCACCTCTCTTATTCCCTCGTCCAAAAAATAGTTTTCCCGTAAGACCCAGGGACCAAAAAACCCCTCCTGGCACAATTTTTAAAAAACTAACAGCCAGTTTTTTTTCCATTTCCTTTAACGTCTATTCAAAATTTTCAAATTACCGTAGTACATGTTCAAACGTATATTTTATGTGCATAAATTACCGTAGAGTTACAAGTTACTTTAAAGTTGCTCCTACAACAACCTGTATCTGACACAATTACTACCTATAAAACTTACATTTCAGGGTAGATTTCAAAGTCAATAATATTATAGAACGCTGGCCTTGTAATCCTGGGGTCTCGGGTTCGATTCCCGGCGGTGCCCGAATTTATAACTTGTGTTGGGCAAGGCCGTGGTCTAGGCAACACGGAGTTTTC